GTTTGCTCATCTATAAAAAAGAATCATAAAGGTACCCATCCTCATGGGTCACTCTGAGGATCTTTTTCTTTTTTTTAAAGATTTTATTTATCTATTTGTCAGAGAGAGACACAGCGAAAGAGGGAACACAAGCAGAGGGAGTGGGAGAGGGAGAAGCAGGCTTCCTGCGGAGCAGGGAGCCCGATGCGGGGCTCGATCCCAGGACCCTGGGATCATGACCTGAGTCGAAGGCAGACGCTTAACGACTGAGCCACTCGGGCGCCCCTGAGGATTAATATTTCTAATACATAGGCATCCCTTAAACACTGGCAATAAACACTGATGATTAATTTCAGTCATTTTCAAAAGTTACACATATTCAATGTAGTTATTATTAGGTAACAATCAAAAAGGTGAAAGTTAACATTCTTTAAATAAAGAAAACTTTTTAAAGTTTTAAAAAGAAATGTCACTTCCCCATTCTAACAACAACAAAAAAACTGATTTAAAAAAATTGATAAAAGACTTGGTTTTCATAAAACACGCTTAAAAACTGAAAGCAACTGGACTTCTGGTTGGCTCAGTTGGTTAAGCGTCTGTCTTTGGCTCTGATCATGATCCCAAGGTCCTGGGATCGAGTCCCACATCAGGCTACCTCCCCAATGGGGAGTCTGCTTCTCACTCTCCCTCTCCCCGCTGCTCATGTGTGCACACTCTCTCTCTCAAATAAATTCTTAAAAAAAAGAAAAATTGAAAGCAATGCTTTTCACATTTTATGTAACAAACTCTTAAAATATATATCCATTTCTAATAAATAAAACTGAAACCCTCTTTGTATAGGATTACAGAGGAGATCTAATAGTCCCATTTATGATTAACCTCTGGGAATGAGAAAGAATAAACTATGTATCTTCCTGGGCATTAGGACTTTTCCTGCAGAACACTGATAAGATCTGTTAAAAGAAGTAAAAGTTTTCTCTATACTCATCCTTATTTAAGCAACTTTGCATACTCATTCAATTATCTCAGAATAAATCTACAGATGTTAGCTAGTTTTTTATTTTTATAATTCATTTTTAAGTGCATTTTGCAAAGTTATAATATGAATCTATGTTCCTCTCTGTAACTCTTTTATAACTGATAAACTTTTGCTACATTGTTATATTCTTCATAATTATTTTTAATGGACTCTTAAAATTTTATAATGGCACACTTAACTATCCCATTATTAAATTTAGTGTTACTTGCAATTTATTGGTATCATAAATTATGCTACATTATTACTTCATTTAGAATGCAGTATTTTCTTTTATATTCTATTCAAAATAAATATTCAGAAGCGAAAAAAACAATTTTTCCTTTGTGAGCGTAAAGTAAGACTGTGAGAAATCTCTAGTTCTTACTCAACAATGTAGAGTAACTGCTAATTACTACTATACTACAAGTGACTAGTAACAAGTATTTTTATTTATTTTTTAAGATTTTTATTTATTTATTTGAGAGAGAGAGAATGAGAGAAGAGAGAGAGAGCACATGAGATGGGGGGAGGGTCAGAGGGAGAAGCAGACTCCGCACCAAGCAGGGAGCCCGATGCGGGACTCGATCCGGGGACTCCAGGATCATGACCTGAGCTGAAGGCAGTCGCTCAACCAACTTAGCCACCCAGGCGCCCCAGAAGTATTTTTATTTCTTTAAGTGTCTTTCAAATATTGTTAGAATTAACACACGACCACCTCATTTTAATATTACTCAGAGTTTGGCTCACAGTTTGTATAGTAAAGAATTTAACCTTGCCAATGAGAGGTGTGGCTTTTGCCCCCTCCTTCTGGGAGGTAACATCTAAACACCAGGAAGGTCACACCTAAGTATCTTTTTATTTTCCTTTTTAAACCTGGGGGCTTAGGTCACTGCCAGTCTTAGGGTAGGTACTGACCCCACCAAAAAGATCAACAGTGTGATTTAGGGTGGATGTTGGCTTTTAGTCATGTTTGAAGACTGAAATTAGCCTCAAAGGCAATCAATAATGCCTACATAAAGGAGCTTCTCGACAAAAATATACTTAATCACTAAAGCACAAGTGAGCTTCCCTGTTTGACAATACTCCTTAAGTACTGTCACACACTGATGCTGGGAAAATAATGTGTCCTAATGCCATAAAGAGAGGACAAAGGATGCTCTGTTTGGTACTTCCCCAAACTTGGCCTAATGTGTTTCTTCCCTTGGCTGACTTAAATCTATATCCTTTCCCTGTAACAATCAGTAACAGCTTTCAGTGAGTTCCATAACTCCTTCTAGCAAATTATGGTACTTCAGCATTGGTTTTGGAACCCCCAGAACTTATAACTGGTGTCAGAAGTGAGGGTAGTCTTCTGTGGACTGTGTCCCCTAATTTTGCAGTTGGCCTAATTCCTCTCATGGTTAAATGATGAATCAATCAAATATAATAAAACTATTCACTTAACAGATTTTTTTTTTAAAGATTTTATTTATTTATTTGAGAGAGAATGAGAGATAGAGAGCATGAGAGGGAAGAGGGTCAGAGGGAGAAACAG